TTTGAGTATTTGGGCCTGATTTTTGTTTAAAAATTCTTGGCCCAGGTCCGTTTCTATCATTTCTCATTCTTTCATTTTCTAATTAAATTCCTAATTNCACAGTAAAAGAAATTTAATTTATTTTTTGATTTATTTTGGAGTAGTTTTTCGTAAGGCAAAAAATCACGTGCTCACATCAACTGCATAACAACTATGACCGGCTCATGTGGTGATCCCTCTAAATGTGGAAATATTTGGTCAACGAATTCTTCCCAAAATGTTGCCGAGATATTATTCCTCCTGTGTAATTTATATAACAACTTAATCAGACACCGCTAAGTAATCATGTTAACATATAACAACTTAATCAGACACCGATAAGTAATCATGTTAAAATATATAACAAAGTAAAACATAGACGCAATTTTACTCATGATCTTCAAGTTTCACATTTATATAAGTGCTGGTCTTATCACCTTGGTTATGTGATTCTACTTCACCATAACTTACAATCTCTCCAATGACATCTATAATAATTTAGAAAAATAATCAGGACAAAGTTGATAAGACATTCAAATAAAAGAACTGCGAATTGAATACTTACCGAAGAGTTCACTTTCTTGAACATCAATTTTGTTTATCAAATACTCATAAGGTTTTAAATCGAAGATACTCATACCAAAAAGATGATCATTTGCTTCCTCTACAATCGTCTTATGTGTAAATGCCAACTTTAATTTATGCCGCGTGTATTTAAGTTTCGTATAATTTGGTCCAACCACAAAGTTCTTCATAAAGTACAAACCCAATTCTTTTATCTTTGGTTTGAACATACGTATAAGAGACCGACCAACAGTCGCATGAATACGATCGCCCTAGAAACAAAAAATTCATAATTAATATTTAGTCAGACAAATACTCAGTTGTACGGTGTTATCACAGAGTATATTAAACAATGAAGTATCAATGAGTAAAACATAATATGTGAATGTTTGCCTTTCCAAAATAACACATACAACATATTTGATGGTAAATACTAATCTAAATTGCAGTTGATTAAATACATGTTTAACCTAATGAATTTCATAGTACAAAGCAAAAGATGGAAATTGTAGTCAAATTTTTATGAAAAAATAAGTGCAACTAAAAAAGAATGCACCTTTTCGTCTTGAATAATTAATTCAAGGGAGACGATGTTGTCTGGTTTGTCGCGGTTTGGAACGTGCCACAATCTCACTATTCGTACCTTCAAATTCCAACTCATCTTGTTACTCGATATATTGCAAATATAGTCAAATGCTGTCATATTTCTTTTTAGAGAAAACTTTATAAGAGGATTGTCTGTCAAATGCCATCAAATGCCGTATATATATAGATATAGATATCCGGAATGCAGTAATTTTTGTAAGGAAAAATAAACCCTAAATAGTAAGTAAGTACAAAAAAATCCAGTTACTATATATCTATAGATATATACGGAATGCAGTAATTTTTGTATGGAAAAATAATTTTCCATAAAAAGATTCGTAAAATAGAGGCATATGCATTTGGGATTCCCCAATTAGTTGTTATTCCAAAATACCTGGCGTAGATGTCGTCGTCTCCTAAACTACATATCTCTCCAGAATCCATATGCGAAAAAGATGAGAAAAAACGACCGGAAAAATCATCTTCACATTTGAATGTCTCCTCGCGATGGACTAATTTCACATTTGACGGCATTTCACATTTGGACTAATTTCACATTTGAATGTCTCCTCTTCTCCCTCTGTATCCCAATCCAACAAAATTGCGGAACAAATCAAAATGCTTAGGTTTAAGCTTTTTCAAATTCCCAATATTACGCGTTATTCGTATAGAGAAAATCAAGGAGATCAGCTTTAATGAGGAAGCGAAGAACATGGGATACACGTTATTTGTCGTTGGAGGGCGTGACCCAGTTTTTGTTATAAATGGGATTCCATTTAGATTGGTATCCCGAAATTTACTCATACGATTATTTAGTAATAATTTATTATTAAATATTTGTATAGATTAAATATAGAGATAACATGTAATTGAGTCCAGATTTTTCGGCCTAATTGCAATCCCAAATATACTCAGCCCAGATTTTTCGGCCTAATTGCAAGGTTTTCTTATACCTATAGATTTGGGATTATGACCGTTATCTACATCAGTCAATTAGGCCGAAAAATGTGGGTGTTAAAACTTGCATTTTAATAAAAGTAAGTCTTAATAAATTAAGTTGCCATGTGTCTTTTTAATATGTTGTCACTTGGCTTATTAATAACTTGACACTTGGCTAATTGAGAATGCAAACTTTCTTGCTTTAATATATACTAGTATTAGCACCCGCGCAGATGCGCGAACACTAATCATGTCAAATATTTAAGTTATTTGGATTGTATGTAAATAATCTTAAAATTTACACTTTCTCAGTAAATATAGATAATCATTGGATATTAACTACATGAAAAAAGTTAACCATTTCTTCTATTTTTCTTTTTTGATATCATTCTTGCCGGTGTCATTGAATCCTAAAAATAGTCAGGAAGCAAAATAATAACTCATATTTATGACAAAACAATCAAATGTTGAGACAATGAATGACTCTTATAACACTTAACTCTTTTACTACTACTTGAACTCTTATTTGGTGTATTGATATCTCTTAAAAAATATTTATGTCTTAAAATTTCGGTTTCTAAAATATTATTTTTCAATAAAAATTATTTTTATAATAATATAATTGAAAATATTATTCTTAATTCAAAACTCATTTTAGTTGGCTATCTAAAAATATAAAAAAATTCTTTAGCTAGTGAATTTTCTTTTACTCCATTTTGATATTTGACATTAACCATGTTAAATATCTGAGTTATTCAAATAATATGTAAATAACCTTAACATTTAAACCTTCTAAATAATTATAGATAATCGTCAAATATTACTTAAGAAACACCACATGAAAAAAGACTAACATTTTCTCAATTCTCGTAGTGATAATTTTATTTTTGCACTATTCTCATATGTGTCATTGGAACCTAAAAATATCCACAAAGTGAAATAATAACTCATATTTATGGCAATGCACAAAGGTTGACACGATATAAACAATTCTTTGATTACGACGTGACTCTTATACTGCGACTTGAACTCTTATTTGGTATGATTTTATCTTTCAAAAAATATTTCTATTTTGAAATTTCAATTTCTAAAACTTTATATATATTATAATAATGATTATCTTTATAATGATGCAAGTGAAGATATTGTCCTTAATTTGAAATTCACTTTAATCGGCTATTTAAAAATTTAAATGATTCTTTGGCCGAATTTATTTTAGTATGACTCCACTTTAATTTTATCGATATCTCTAACCCCAGAATTTGAATTTTTAATAGCCTATACATACAAATATTTTGTTCTTTGAGTCATTAAATTTAAACTAGTTGATTATTATTATAAAACATTGCATATATTGTCTTAAAATTGTCAAGTAGTTTACTATACTTAGCTTAACCTCAATGCAAACTACTCAAATTGCATTCCAATTCAAATTCGAATATCATATCAGTTTGTTGGTAATAGTAATTTTTTAAAAACGACACATAATGTAAATTAAAAAAAATATTCGAAGATATCCTTATCTTATAATCTATGTATTTGAGTTGAAAAAAAAAATATTTGAAATAGATGAGATTAACTTTCAAATTTTTATACTCAACAAAGATGAAACATAAGAAGAAATTTGCTGTCATCTTTTGTTTTTCGTTTTTAGATCTTTCTAACTTTTTTCAATATTTATTTTTTTTATCTTATTTTTTATGTCATTATTTCTTTTGTTACAAAAAATAAATTTACTTCACTATAAAAGGATGAGTTTTAATAAAAATCGTCTACATATGAACTTTAATTATATTTTTAGTCTTTGGTTGAAATTATTTCAACTTTTTTGGCTTTATCTAATAGCCTAAATAGGTGCTCACTCGGCCACTTAAATTAAAGAATTGAATGATGTATAATTTATATATAATCCATATATAATATGTGTATAATTGTGTGTTGCCGGTATATCGTCTATTTATATTAGCTATAAAAAGTAAATAATAAATATGACCATATATTATGTAATTATTCCATAAGATTTTGTTTTTTTTGAGTTTATACATGATATAACTTCTATTATAATATTTTTAAAACTCCCTACTAATGTTCGAAAATATCTTATCTTTGAATTAAAAAAAGTAAAGAGTTTTTTCGAAATAATTTGTTTAGATTTAAAAAAACATTCACGTCATACCAATTGTTTCTTTATATATACTCTTTTTTACACTTAAAAGTCTCTATAGAAACTATCAATTAGAAACCAATTTATCTCTTGTTGAGTTTGAAAAAAAACCTTTCATATAATCTAATGATTAAAAACTAATATTCTTCAACGAAAAAAATATTATATCCTTGCAATATTGGCTTGACTACAGCTAAATGAAGGGGTTTCAACTTATACCCTTCAATTCCTTGAATGTGCTAAATTGAAATTAATGATAGCAATTGTATAACCAAAGTTTGTTATTTGTTTGATGTCCATTTGTGCAAATTGACTCTTCAAACAAATATTCTTCAATAAGAAAAAAGAAACAACTTTTTTTCTTTTTAATTATTGACTGATTTTGTGATGTTTCTTTCTCCAGCATGTATGTTTACTTTATTATATATGTAAATAAACTTTTATTTAGTTTTGTAAACTCTTTTTTGTTATTTAGATAAACATAGACGTGTACCCTATATATTACATTTATTTTAAAAGAATTATGTTTATTCAAACCTAGCTACAGTGTTTCAAAGAACTATACTTATAGAATTTTAAAAAGAGTTTTATAGTTATATGGAGTATTTTTTTTGTTGCTAAAGGCGAATTAGTATTTAAATAATTATAAAAAATAACAAAAGTTCCTAACATGATTGCATATGATCATTAACTGAATTAAGTATGATAACATGATAAAAAAAAGATAATTTTTTTTAATTTAAATTCGAATTTTAGAACTTTATCTATAAATTCAAAATTATCTTTTAATTCAAATTATATATTATATTATATTATATTATATTATATTATATTATATTATATTATATTATATTATATTATATTATATTATATTATATTATATTATATTATATTATATTATATTATATTATATTATATTATATTATATTATATTATATTATATTATATTATATTATATTATATTATATTATATTATATTATATTATATTATATTATATTATATTATATTATATTATATTATATTATATTATATTATATTATATTATATTATATTATATTATATTATATTATATTATATTTGTATTTAACTAAGTAGTCAAATATAGAATAAAGTTACTATATACTATTGATATCTATTAGCTTGCCACTTGGCTTAACCATAATGTCAATTATATATGGTAACTTTCTTGCTTTACTATATATATAAATATATAAATTTAGATTGGTATCCCGAAATTTACTCATACGATTATTTAGTAATAATTTATTATTAAATATTTTTATAGATTAAATATAGAGATAACGCGTAATTGAGTCCATATTTTTCGGCCTAATTGCAAGGTTTTCTTATACCTATAGATTTGGAATTATGGCCGTTATCTACATCAGTCAATTAGGCCGAAAAATGTGGGTGTTAAAACTTGCATTTTAATAAAAGTAAGTCTTAATAAATTAAGTTGCCATGTGTCTTTTTAATATGTTGTCACTTGACTTATTAATAACTTGACACTTGGCTAATTGAGAATATAAATTTTCTTGCTTTAATATATATATAGATTCTTCGAATTACTAACAAATGATACGACCTAATACCTAACTTCATTGCAATAGTCATCATGTAAAGACAACAATATCAAAACAAAACCTCACAAAAAAACGGAATAACCTGCATTTTTGAAATTCTCTGCAGCCTGCAGGTGTATAGAAGGAGTAGCCACTAATACAACATTAGGGAATTCTCTCATCGATTCTGCTAAGTTTTTGATTACGACCACTAAAATGATACATGATTGATAATGATAATCAAGGAAAAAACTCCATAGTTAAAATGATACACGATTGATAATGATAATCAAGGAAAAAACTCCATAGTACTATAATGTATAATAATAGTCGTTCAAAAACATTAATGGTATTCACCAAGATATCAAATGTCTTTTTTCCCTGATAATCTCGTAGACAAATAAATATGATAGAATAAAAGAACAAAAAGAAAAAGTAAAAAGAGTGAAATCTAAGAAAGTACTAAAACTCTTCCTATGTTTTCTCGCTAATTTCACTCTCTGGCGTTAAAAAGAAAACCTTAGTCATACACTCATACTTATGTTCTTCTGGTTGGAGTGAAGTTGGCTTCGTGCGCAGATACCATAATCTTAATCAACTAAAATCAGATTATGAAATTACTTTTAATTTTGTGCTTCTATTCTCACACACAAGTGGGTTTAAACAGAAATTCCTCAGCACAAAAACTTTAAAGCTGCAAAATTTACTACGAGGAATGTCATACCAGATTACCAGTTCTTGTTTTCATCTTATCATTTGCTTCAAATTTTAAATCCTCAGACTTCTGCTACCTTGAAAGGCCTACCAAATATGAGAGAGAAAAGGAAATTATAATAACAGAGAGGGGAGATTTACATATGGATATGGCAAGTGGTAGCTAGGAAGAGTCGGAACAGAAAATCAAGGTATTTAGAAAAATTGAAGAAACAAAAGAAGAATTCTACCAGTGGCGGGGGGAAGAAGAGGATAAGAAGAATTGTTGCAAGGATAGGAGATTTGCCAGGGAAAGAAAAGAGGCATACTTAAAATTCGAGGGAATTAAAAGAAATGTCGGTTTCATTTGTAAAGAAAAGTAGCGACTGCTGA